CTGGTAACCCCCCCCCCCCCCCGCCCCCCCCCCCCCCCCCCCCCCCCCCCCCTCCCCCCCCCCCCCCCCCCCCCCCCCCCCCCCCCCCCCCCCCCCCTCCGCCCCTCCCCCCCCCCCCCCCCCCCCGCCCCCCCCCCCCCCCCCCCCCCCCCCCCCCCGCCCCCCCCCCCCCACCCCTCCCCCCCCCCCCCCCCCCCCCCCCCCCCCCCCCCCCCCCCCTGCCCCCTCCCAGTCCACCCCCCCCCCTCCCCCCCCCCCCCCCCACCCCCCCCCCCCCCCCCCCCCCCCCCCCCCACCCCCCCCCCCCCTCCCCCCCCCCCCACCCCCCCCCCCCCCCCCCCGCCCCCACCCGCCCCCCCCCCCCCCCCCCCCCCCCCCCCCCCCCCCCCCCCCCCCCCCCCCCCCCCCCCCCCCCCCCCCCCCCCCCCCCCCCCCCCCCCCACCCCGCCCCCCCCCCCCCCCCCCCCCCCCCCCCCCCCCCCCCCCCCCCCCCCCCCCCCCCCCCCCCCCCCCCGCCCCCACCACCCCCCCCCCCCCTCCCCACCCCCCCCCCCCCCCCCCCCCCCCCCCCCCCCCCCCCCCCCCCCCCCCCCCCCCCCCCCCCCCCCCCCCCCCCCCCCCCCCCCCCCCCCCCCCCCCCCCCCCCCCCCCCCCCCCCCCCCCCCCCGCCCCCCCCCCCCCCCCCCCCCCCCCCCCCCCCCCCCCCCCCCCCCCCCCCCCCCCCCCCCCCCCCCCCCCCCCCCCCCCCCCCCCCCCCCCCCCCCCCCCCCCCCCCCCCCCCCCCCCCCCCCCCCCCCCCCCCCCCCCCCCCCCTCCACCCCCCCCCCCCCCCCCCCCCCCCCCCCCCCCCCCCCCCCCCTCCCCCCCCCCCCCCCCCCCCCCCCCCCCCCCCCCCCCCCCCCTTGCTCTGAAAAGATAAATCATAATTGAAAAGCAATGAAAATCAATAGGCTTAAACATATTGTCCAATTCCCTCCTTCCTTAAAAAAAAAATGTCACTGAAGCTATTTTCCATGACATCAAGACATCCTTAAGTCACAGAGCCACATGTGGACCCAAGTATCAACCACACTATAAACTAGTGGGAGTTGACACATTTTACTAGGGCTATACTGTTTGTCCAACTTCTTAAACAGCATTGACTAACTTTTTCATTCTCATCAATAAGTACAAATATTAACAAGAAGTTTTTTAAAAATAATATATTTTTAGTTCTTCCAACTAAATACATTTAGTTGCAACTACATTTGCTGCTCTAAGTTCTATCTACTATCATTCTGAGCCAATTCATATGCTATATTTACTTCAAAACACCACATTAAAGTTTCAATATTTTTAAGATAAAGCCACATAGCCAAAATGTTTTTTAGTGCCTATGAGACAGCTTCAAAGGTTACAAGACAGTATGCTTAAGTAGAATCAAGCATTAATTCATGAAAAATTTCCAGGCCCTCAGTCTTATTCTTGACAATGGTTACCTTGACTTACCACAATAAATAAATTATAGATGGAATGGACAAGATGCCAATCATGTGAAACTAAGAGCACAGCAAGAGGTCCAGGACGAAAACAAAGGTGTGTAAGAAATGGTTCCTATTCCCAGGAACTCAGACCTAAAATTAGAAGATCTGACAAATGTGAAACTTGAGAGTGTAGTTAGGGCGATTCACTGAGGGAGTTGAGCATCCATTCTGAGAAGCTGTGCATTTTGTACATAATTTAAGGGTGAATTGTTTTACATCATATTCACTGATCTCATCAGCCATCACATTCAGTAGTGCACAAACATCTGTTTTTTAAAAATTAGAATTCTAAAAGAACTTCCGTTGGTTCTGTGTAACAGGGATTTTGCTGAAAGTAAGAGAGCAATATAATACTATTTTCAGATTTGAGAGCAACACAGGCATGTAAAAAGAACAGCACAGTAGGACTCAAACGCCAGGTGGACTCTGCTAGAATTTCCAGGCATATAGCTTCTCTAAAAATAACAAAAATTTGCTTTCTAAGCAAAAAGAGTCTCTTCTCAAGAGTTGAAATTGTCCTTGATTTAAAAAAAAACCTTTTCGTACTTCTAAATCTACTATAGTGCTAAGAAACCTTCTCTTCTTAGATCAAAACTGAAAATGAAAAATTATCAATCATAAGAAGATAAATGAAAATGAATATTTATGCTCTCTGCTCATGGTTGTCCCCAGTTATTTTCTATCAGTTCAACAGGAAGCAACGTCTTTCTGCACAGCTGAAGGTCAAGAGACCATGAATCTATTTATTCTCCGAGCCACACATCCCATAATTCTCTAACACATACTGTAAAGATGTATGGAGTGGTCGAACCATTAATTTTGTGGACATGCACACCTCTCTCCCCAGACTCTCATCCACCTCATTCTTGCATTTGATTTGGGTCAAGAACATCTTATTGAATACATACAACCTAAACGATAACTTAATTGCTAAATAGTAAACATTATTACTAAAGTCCTCTAAACATTGCAATTTCCTCTTCTTCATTTAATAATGCTGTTAAAAAAAATCAGTAACAATTTAACCACTTTCTATGAAGTAACAGCATTTGCAACTGCCTTCAACAAATACTTAAAATGCTACCTATTTCTAAGGAAGGAAATGAGAGTTACAATACAGCTACCTTTGTGACCTATATAAAGCAGTGGGTATGGTAGACTTCCTCAGCAGCCTTAACCACACACAGAAGCTACACAGAGTGAGCAAAACCAGTGAGATCTTTCAGCAACACAGCAACATAGAAGGTTGTTTTCAGCCATGCCAGATGGAGCATATCTAGAAAAGGACAACTTCTGTGCTTCACTTAACAATTACACTGTCCATTTTTACCAGGATGGTGTGTCTGGGTGGGAGGTTTTATTTTGTTTTGTTTTGTTTTCCCCAGGATGACTGAGTATTTGAAATAGTTCATTACATTCAACTCTCTGTGTTTGCTGCAAAGTGCTTGGAAAGCAGGAAAAGAAAAATACGTCAAGAGAATGGATTAAGATGCACAGCTAATCTAAAGGTCTCAATTTACCCAATCATTTCATCTGTACTGTATTCTTTTAGAGTCTGAGCTTGTTTTGCTTGTTTTGGTGTTTAATCTTCATGGACCACCATGACAGGGAATTGGGGTGGAGAGAGCATTACAAAAAAGGATATCAAAGGTGTGAGTCCTTCACAAACTGCATAATCACTCCCAGAATACATTGAGAGTTGATTGTAATTAACTACATACTAAAATTAAAATATGTATCATGCTCATAGCACACATCACTGGATATCAAAAGAAAAAAAGTACAACTTAATTTTTTAAGGGATCCAACACAAGACTGTATGTTACACTTTCCTGCATGCCATGCTTATCCCAAACCTTACCTAAGGAAGATCCACCTGATAATTTTTATACCAAGTTAACTCATGAAGCGTGCATCCTGTGGGATGGAATTTATATTTTAAAATTCACTGGAAAAATAGATTCACTGTTAAAAAAGACATATCTAAGATAAGAAATACCCAAAACGTATTGCTGATTGAAAAAACTATCAGAAAGATTATACTTTATATTACTTTGGATTCATGATGCTAGTTTTTTTAATCTCAAGCATTCATTGCCTGGCCCAATATTCAAAAAGTTCTAATTATGAAAGTTATTCAGTGCTTGGTGTCAACCAGCATTTTTACTGAGCATTGTCACACAACACTTTATTCATTACATACAAAAATATCTAACTATTGAGCCTATGGGATCATTTGACAGATTTTTTTTCTCTACTCAATAAAATAGCAGAAAATATTTCACCAATTCCTAAAATCTGCATGACAATATACACATAATCCACAACTTTGTAAGTGCACCTGTCATCAGTGGGTAGGTGCCAAGCCTGCCGCTCCTCATACACTGCACCTCTATTACAACATGCAGACTGAGAAGCTGGCCATAACCCAGGGGTAGACACCGCCATGATTCATGGTGCTACTCTTATAAACTCAAAGGGTTAGACACCATTTCCTACACACAGCTCTTTTCCTTGCAACCACGTTCCCCCTGATTAGGCAAGGAAGTAAATTCTGCCTCCTTCAACAAGGATTAGCCAACATTACAATTGCTTGAGTTCTTTCACACAATCTCTAGCTGAAAGATGACTTTAAATTAATCTTAATTCTGATTTTTATGACTTCTGAGTAAAATGCCATAAATAAGTGTACTTAGCACAGTAAAGACATTAACATGTAAGTAATGAAGTGAAACCTGTATTTCATTTCTTTGCACTTTCTGAATTCTCTCACTTAAGGATTATATTCCTTATAAATGCACCATTTCCCTCCTAATTTTATATTTACATACATTGTCACCCTCACTTCTCAGCTTCCAGAAGGGATGAATATAAAACCAAGACCCTTCATTTCCTGCAGCATCCAAAGACACACGCATGGCATTCTTCTCCAGTAAAGCAGGCAACCTCTTGTTTACAGTAAGGTATTTGTTGCTTTTTATATGCAGCAGCTGTAGGGAAAAGACATGCATTATGTTTATTACTTGATTTCTACTGTTAATTTCACTTAGATGTTCATAAATGCATCATACGTCCCCAAGTCACAGGGCTTGCAGTGGAAATGGAATGAAGGACCTGTGTTCAGACTTCACAACCACCACATCTCCAAGTGACTTTCTTTAGGTTCCTCCTCACCCCAACACCAATTCTGCTCCATAATAAAGTGAACACGTGAGGAAAATTAGGCAGGGGACACTAATTATTTTCATCAACTGATAAAATAGAATAACAGAATAAAACCAGACCTTCCAGAGAAGACCTGGAAGTTCCTCTAAGTCACATCCTTTCCAATGCCAGCATAGCCACAAAAGGAGAACATACTCAACAAGAACCAAGAAACGACAATCATCTACCAACCTACTTGGTATCATGAACCACCCCTGCCCATGGAGGCCCTAGCTCTAATTCTGTGATGAGGTGGGCTGCCTGCCTATCCTAAATGCACACCACAACTTTTGAAAGGATGCTGACCCCTTTCATAGATGAGTGCAGGAGCACTGTTCCTCACCAAGCCTTTGTCTATGGATTCTATGGGCAAATTTTTCCCAAAATGTGACTGTACTGAGTAGGAAAACCAAAACAAAATAGGCTTTCCATCTATTATCAATTTCAATCATTAAAAAAGAAAAAGGTCATTTCAGTACACATAGGGAGAAGTCATCTTAAAATAAAAAGCAATTCTTTAATTGTCAAAAATCAGCCTTTTGCAAAGTTCGCCCTCGAGCCCATGGCTCTCACTTTACTGCAAAGCACTGAACACCTTTGAGACTCTGCTCCTCTGGCTCCTGCACATTGAAGCCCATGCTCAGTCACCATCTGAGCAGGCAAACATTTGTACTTCAAATCCTTGGCAAGGAGCATAAGCTCTAACGCTGCATTTAGCTGTAATCAAAACCTGATAAGAGAAACTGTTTCTGGAGGATAGTCCAAGAGGTGTGCTGTCCATGCACACAGACTGTGTCACACCACCATTAGATTAAGTCACACATCGGGAAGCTGCAGACCCCAAGTCTCTTATCTCGTTCCTGCTTTCCCTGCATTGTGGCACTTTGCCATTAGCCAATGACAAAATATCAGGAAATATTATTTTTATAAGTACCTCATTGTGGCATTTACTATAAGGACGTTAAGGCTATTGTCTACTGTATTAAACAGTGTCCTCTTTATGAACACTCAGGAGAAACACTTCCCTGCTCTTGTTTCTGGGAACAGCTGTGCTTCTAGACCTCTGCTTTGCTCCATGCTCTGGCCTTCCTGTGCCTATACAGAAGCAGGCCCTTGCTTCATGGCTCCACAGCCTAAGAAGCCTTCAGGTAATGTTCACCTGACTTTACCGCATGGCTTCTATGAACATGTCTTTCCCCTAACCTCAGCTTACTCATCCAACCGTTCCTTTCTCCTTGACCCAATCGCTTTATTATTTGTCTTTTATCTTGTTATGTGGTACATATTTTGGAAAATGCCTTACATTCTTTGTGGAACAAGGTGGGACAGCCCAGATAAACTGGAATGAGCACACTAACTGAAATGGAAGACCTATAAACAAAAGGGTGGTTTGCTTCCAAAAGGACAATTTGAAAACTTTCCAATACCAAACAGAAAGTAAAGTTCCCAGTGTCAAACACTAGTGTCATTAATCCAAAAGACTACTGCTTATCAGTCTTTAGAAGAAATTCTTTCCCTGCCTTCCTCTTTTTGATGTAGTAACTTATGCAGGCATCCAGATAACATCACTTCTTTATGTGTGTGCATCAGACTTCTACTTCTTTTCTTCCTCAGTACTGGGGATTGGACCCAAGGTCTTACACATGCTCAGCAGGAGTTCTACCACTGAACTATACCCCCAAATCCAAGACTTATTCATAAATGTATAAAATTGTGCACTGGTTATCAACTGAGTAAGTCATAACAAATATAATTTCCACTGTAGAACAAACTATATTCTTTCAAAATTTTCCTACAGCTTGGCATTCCAACCAATATGGACAATTTGGCATGTCTCCTGTAACATATTTACATGTTTTAAGAGAAAATAGAGACTTACTTGTATAACATTACTGTATTTCACAATTTCCCCCAACAGCTTCTTATTCTCTGATTCATTTTGTTTCTGCTCCAGTTCTGCAGCATGCTGTAAAATCATCAAATACTCAGTGTAGAGATATCATGAACACAGTACAGTAACTGACAAGGAAGTGAACAGTTTTATACAGATACAACTACAAATAAAACAGACTGGAGTGTGGAGAGGGAGGGAGAAGGGAGCAATAATGAAATAATTTCACAGTTCATGCCGGAACACAACCAAAAATGTCTTCAGTCAAATTTATGTCAGAATTCAGAAAAGAATTGTCACTCTGGTCTTATAAAACTTCTCTAAGAAAGAATGCAAACCCAACGGGATAGCAGGTGAATTGCAAAAGTCTGAAAGTATAGTTTCCAATTCTGAAAGTAACAGGAATTTTAATGATGCAAAATTAAGTTCTGTCAAATTCACATTCAACCAAACCATAAAAAATAGTCTTTACGTTATTTTTCTAAGTCTTTCAGGAAAAATAATTTAAGTAGTATGTCAAATGAAATATGACTGGATTAAATATTCCTATTTGATGTGAAATTTTTAGTCTGGCACACCTAGAAAACAGCAGCAGGAATGTGCTGGTACATGCCAGGAAGTTAAGTGGTCACACCCCACGACCTAAAACTCCCTTCCACTTTGCAGCATGTTGTGTCTACTGAGATCCCTGTGTATTAGCAAAAACACGAAGCTAGAAAGCCATGAGTACTTTGTTTGTCATTTCTGCTTGTGATCCAAAAGCAAGGCCAAGGGCAGCTGGCCTTACCTGCAGCTTCTTCAGCAAGGCGGCCTCTGTGTGGTTCCCTTGTTTGGCTTGTTTGGCTTTCCAATACTGCTTCTGGGCAGAATAACGATTCATAGGGCACACCTTGAAAAGGCAGTCTAGGACAAACACAAAGAAACCCTGTAACTAAGGCTACCAGCACTTCACAGCCATCCCATGCAGTCTTTGTGTGGGAATCTTGAATCTGAGCATAAGGACACACAAAAGCCATGCAAGCCCATTCTCCTGCTAACCCATAATTCACTCTGTAACATCCTTCTCAAACAATTCTTGTTTAAAGAACTCAGCTACAATCTCCTTCATCACTAAAGTTTGTTAAAGAATACTGTAGCCAGTGTAATTGTGATATTATCAGGCATTTCTTCATTGTAATGGGGACATGGTCTCCCAGTGAATGGAATGAGATTAGTTTTTTATCTGACCTTGCACATTTAATACTATTCATGGTCAACATTACCCACAAAATGAGTCAGGAAATAAAAACAATCAGAGCTAACTAATGCCATTCCTCAAGTTTCCAAACCCCTAGGGTAAATATGGCATGGAAATATGAGAGACAATGTGATATAGTGAAAAATAAAGCAAAGCAAAACAACAACAACTATTCCAAAAGTTTAGTTCTGGCTCTATTCCTAAATATCAAGATAGGAAGTCACAGCAGAGTTCTATAGTGGTATCTCTAAAGCAGAAAGCAGAGTATATATGTCCTTTTCATGAAAAACAGAACTCACAATTCCTTTACATGCGAGGATTCTGTATCACGGAAAGGACTTCAACCTAGAATAACAGTCAGTCTAGTGTTTGATGATAAGAGAATACAGAACATCTAAATATTATTTTCATTTTTCTCACAAAGATGCATTAATTCACATAACAAATGTACTCTACTTTGATTAATGTGGTTATGTTTAGAATCAGCCTCATTTTTCAAATATGTATCACAAAAATGAAATTCAGTCCACTCAAATATCCATTTAGTCACATTGTTGTCTATTACAACAACAAAAATGATCAAGAAACGTGAATGCAGAATTTTTAAAGCTTTTAGAACAAACAGAAGAAACAATGACTTCTTTTCTACACTCTGTAATTGTAGACACAAATTCTATGGCTTGGTCTTCCTGCTCCCTCACCAGGGTACAGAAAACTGATTCATAACTTCTAACTTAAAAATACTGGAATGAATGAGTAAACAAGTTATATGCAGCAGAGAACAAATGCGGTCTAACAGCCAAAAGTAGGCTGAGAGGCCATCATAGAGCAATACAGGAGCCGCCACCTGGCACGTCACATGTAAACCAAACACATACGAGCCCTAGAAAACAGCAAAGAGAATTACACAAAGTTGTGAAGCACAGGTATAAAGGTTGTTCACAAACACTGACTAAAGAATACTCCTGGTTTAACACAGTGGATTATTTTGATTTCTGGTTTCAGTCAAGTGACAAAACTCTACATTGTTTTTGTGCAGGAAAACACAAATCAATGTTGAAGTAGAACTGAACCCTGTAATCTATAGTATGCATTTCTGAATTCATTCACATATGAAAAGACAAAAACTGTGTCCCTCTCCATTGTTACAGATTCCTAACGAAGCTCATTCAGAAATGGTCCTATGACAGAGAAAGTATGGTTTCTAAATTGTAGACCACCTCAATAGCATTCCTAATTAGTGGTATCTTTGGGTAGCTTTCAAAACCACTGTCCTGGTCATGCAGTTAGGGCTACTGTGAAGTACTGGCCAACAATTCAGCCAAACACATTTACTGTAATCCCCTGCAGGAGTCTCGCCCTGAGCTGCTGGGTGTTATGACTCAGACCTCATCCTCAGAAAGCCCACACCCAAGGTTTCATAGTGGAGCTCTGGAGAAGGTGCTGTGGACACAAAGATGACCGGGGCCCACTTTACCAGACAGGGGAGGCTAGAAAAAGCTCCCCAAGAAGACCTGACAAATTTTAAAGAACCAGTATTAACTCAGCACATAAGTAAGGGATTTAAATGCACAGCAGAGGGGCATTTTAGTCACTTTCAGCAGCTGTACAAAAGCAGAGAAGAATGCTAAGGGACTACTACTTCTGCAAGAGAACTAGCAGCTTGGCGGTGAATGGAAAACACAGCGCAGTGCTGAAGACAGGACCTGTGGCATTGGGTCCTAAGCTAAGGAACACGAACTCTATCCCATGGAAAATGCTGGACTCTTGAAGGGTTTAAGTTCTGACAGCATGCAAAAGACAACATAAGCAAGAGGCCAAGCCAGCACAATAGCCCACTTCCAGGGAGGTGGGGGTGTGGGGTGTCCTGACTGGACTGGATAGGAGCTTTGGGGAGGCACAGATTTAAAAAGAAAGCAGCTAAACCAACAGCTTAATACCTTGTGGATGTGGGCTGGGAAAATGTGAGGGCAGGGGAAACTGAAGTGGGCCAGACAAACAGGCTTCCACCACTCTTCTGATAATGAGAAGCCCTAGTTTTATGGGGCCCTTGGGATCTCCTACAGGTGACATCTCACTTTGTATTCCAGTAAATATGCATGGGAACTAGACTGAAGGGCTGTGAGAGCTGACAGAGCAAACAGTCCCCATAAAGAAGAGCTTTTATTGGGAGTGTGTGTGTGTGTGTGTGTTGAATTTTTTTTCCCTCTGCCTCCTTTGGAACACATTTTTAAAAATCTACTCGACTTGGACTGGTTGTGTAGTTTCTCGGATTCCAAATTTACTGCATAATAAAAGTGTTAATAATACATGCCACACCTAATCCACGAGGCTGCTGAGATGCAGAAAAAGATGATGTGTGTGAAAGTTCTCTGTGAACTTTGAAGCCCTATTATGAAGGCAAGCAAGGCAGTATTATTACTGTTGCCTCACTCTTTCAGCAACAGCGTCACCAAGATGAAAAGATGACTGAACTTCCCAGAGCCCTCAGCAAGGAGCAACACAAAGTGGAGTTCTTGGGTTAAACCTGAACACACACCAAGAGCACCCCATTAATGATAAGGAATCCACCCTTTGGGTGTGAGATCCACAGTGTGTTTTCATATAAAATTCTGATATTCTCTGAAACAGAATGCAGTGAGCTAAGGCTACAATCTCCATTACCTTTTAATATCTTTAAAATACGTGGATACAATCACAACTCCAGCATGGGTGGAGTTTTTGACAAACCCAGTTTTTCCTGAGTGCAGGATTTAGCTACTTCAGAACTACCCAAGTCTCCTCCGCCCTACTACCTTGCGTCTAAAACTAGCTCTCCAGTATTTCTTAGTCTCTCGTTTTCTAAAATTAGAGGTGTGCGTACACTAAGAAAAATCTTTAAGGGGTTCTCCAATCAGTAATCAGATCAGTCAGATCAGTGCCACTTTCTAAATAGGTAACAGCCTCTTCAGCATCTCCAGGCTCAAAGCATTAAAAAAAAAAAAAAAACTTAAATGATTTCCTATAATCTGTGTTTTTGGTGTTTGTTTATGAGGTAAATATCCCCCTATGAGGGAGGTTTTTTTGTTTTTTGTTTTATTGTTTTTAAGTTTAACCCTCAGACCCAAGGCCAATATTTGCAGAAATACAGATGGTCAGGCTATGTCAGTAATCCAATAAAACAGGCAATTATAAGAACAATGGCTTAGAGTCAGAACTTCTTTTCTAACAGCTGTGGAAGGAAACTGAGCTCTGCCCAGCAGCATTCACTTTTCTGATTTCAAATTGAGTGGAGGGAAGAAATATAAAAGCCCTGGAGATGGGGGAGGGCAGGAACTCCATGCCATGCAGCACTGAAGTCACAGGACTAACTAACCTCCCCACTCAACTCTGCATAAATTGGCCAATCTACACCTCCACTTCCAATATTCACCATCTAAATAGTTTTGAAAAGCATGCTTTATTCCTATAAAAGTACCTCCTAAGACATTTGTACAATGCACAATTTCTGACTCCCAGAAACCCAGGAGTTCCGTGTTGGCCCACAGGTTGGCTTTGGTGGTGGTGCAAAGAAAACAGGCTTTCTCTTTTCTTCTTCCTAGCACTGTCTTAAGATTTAAATGAGGCAGAGCATATTAAAACATCAACATGTGCCTGTCATTTAACAAAGCAGACATTCAACAAATGGATCTTTCATGTCACTTGTAAAATCATCTCACACTGATTACAGGGAACACAGCTGCCAAGGGCTTCATGACCTCCACATGGAGGAGTGTGGGGGAAGGAAAGGCCCTGGGACTTTCCTTTTCCGATGATAGAAGAGGATGCAGCAAAGTTCAATGATCTCTATGACAAAAAGTAAGCTAGGACTTTCCCAATGATAAATGAAGAGTGTTAGGGTAAGGAACAGGAAGACAAGGGGCCACCACACACTAGTAATCAGAATCCAAAGTTGATCATGGGAATGGTAGGCATCCCTTAGCCAAAAATACAACTGTAACTCTGTTTTTGTCTTTCAGCTTCTCTAAGAAACACATGCTGAAATACAGTGTTTTCATAAAACTCTTTATGTTTAGAAGTTTTAAAATGGAGTGTGCTTCATTTGGTGTAAGCATGGGAATTGTAAACCAAACAGCGGTCTCCTTTGCCTTGCCTGAGAGGAGGCTATCTAAGGAGGAAAATGTGTTCTCGGACATTACAAAGGCCAAATAAAATTTATTGTGCATGTTAGCAAACATTAAAATTAATCACAACATGCGTGGCAATCATGAAAATTGCAATATAACTTCCTCTAGCCGAAAGTCAGCTATTTGACTAATGAAGAGGAAGAGAAGTGATCTTTTGTAGTTACAGGCTTAAAAAACAATGAAGTGTTAGACTGTGAAGGAGACTCAGATAAAATTCAACCTTTCCCTTCTCTGACATAAACAACCCAAAATTCAGAGAGTTTTGCCTAGGTCTTTACTGATGGGATCTCTAGATTAGAATAAGTAATAAATACAAGCAAGTTCAACTACACACAGGATGCTTGAACACCATGACAGTGACAGCCTGACTGTGCTAGTCAGCTTTCCATTGCTGTGAACAAAACTCCTGACATAGCCAACTTAATAGGGGTAAGGCTTATTAGGCTCATGTTTTCAGACACTTCCATCCATCGGTGCTTGACATACCACATTCAGGCCTG